AGCTAACAATGGTAACGCAAAAAATGAGAGACTCCTGATTTCGGAATCCTTTAGGCCACCCCTCCCTCCACCGAGGTCTCTTTCTTGCCACCTCACCCTAGAAGTGGCCGGCCCTTGTCCACTTCTCAGGGTCTCAGCTCCCCCCACGCCGCTGTTGTCCCCGACCCTCTCTTCCCAAATGCAGCCCCTGCCTCCCTTGGCAGATTCAGACCCAGCGGAAGGCTCAGCCCACGGGGAGGAACTCTCGAGGCCACGACCCACCCTCTGCAGGGGGCAGTGGGGTTACCAACTTGCTCACTTTTTTACCTCCCATGACAAGGGCAGTGGCCTCCAAAAGGCCCCCACTCCCACCCCCCGCCCCATTCATCCATTTCTCACTCTGCAGCCAGAGGGGTCACTGAAATAAATCCAGTGGTTTTGCTCTTTTGCTTAAAAGCCTCCACGGACTTTACGTGGCCCTTAGAACAGGGCCCCTTCCGCTCTGACCATTGTGACAGAAGCCGCTGGAGAGAGGCTCTGAATTAGTCCTTTCCACTCCTGTCACATTGTCCCTGTGCAGCCCCAGCCCCAGCAGACTCAACATAATTTTGTTTTCCTTATGTCTATACAACGGTTAGCAGGTTTCAGAGAGCAAATTCACATACACCATCTCCCAAATCACATTGATAAGGTCCTGTCACCACAGTGACATTCAGAAGGAACACCTCCCTCCCACTTCTCTGCTGTCCCTCTTGTCACCTGGACGCTAACCACCGAACCTGCTTACCCCGCCTAGATGACCTGCCAGGGACCTGAGGCTGTGAGCCTGACCCTGAACCCCTGGAAGCGGTCAGCACTGTGTCCCACTGAGGGCTGCTGACCCCTGTCCAGGCCACGGGGCTGCAGTCCTGGGAGGTCCCCAAGAGGGACACACCCCAGCCTGTGGCCTGCGGGCCCTTGGTGTGAGCAGAATGCCTTACCTGGGTTTTCCCGTGGGAGAACCTCTCAGAGGCAAGGCTCTGCAATTTTCAAATCCCTAAAGCCTGCACGTGGGTAGGGAGGGGATATTTGGGACTTCTTTGGTCTTATGTGACATATGCGACCCGTGTTCACATACGCACGTTTCTGTTCCTCCGCCCTTATCGCGCCCTTTTCTCCAGTCCTGCAACCATCATGTTCCTGCCACACTTATCTTTTGTCTTGTTCTTGTCTGCTTTCTGCTTCCTCCCATCTTTTCCCCAGCTGGGACCCAACTCAGACAACCCCTCCTCCGAGATGTCTTCCCACAGCCCCATCGATCAAGTGCCCTAGTTTATCTTTGCCGCGGCGTTTAACGAGGTACTTACTTGTGTATATGTTTATTGTTTGCTCCTCTTGCTGGAATAGCAGCTCTTTAAAGGCAAGACTCTTGTCTCGTTGCCTGCTGTCCCCCAGGGCCTAGGAGAGGGAAGGTTTATTGGTGGAGATGTGGACGGCAGCCTCCCAGCACAGGTCTGCAGTGGGCAGAGTGGGTTGGAGTGGAAAGACCTGAGCTCTGGCATCCAGGTAGCTTGGGGCCGGCGCTTACTGACTTGAACAGCAAGGTACCGGGCAACTCTGGGTGTTCCCTCTTCTAGAAGGGGTGTTGTGGGAGTGACAGAAACTGTTTCGAGTGCTATAAGGACAATGCCTCCCCCATAGCAGCCGCTCTGAGACCGTATGTATAATAAATAGGTCGAACGGGCCCACCTGGCTCCCAGTCCAGGGCTGTTCCCATCCTCTCGGACGGTAACAGATGAATGTTGGGGTGAACTGAAGAGTCAGGATAAGGTGAGATGTAAAGAAGGCTCTGAGTTCATTGCAGCACCCCAAAGAGACCGTCTGTCGGGACTTCTGAAGCGATGGTTTAGGCATGGATGTAGCGGAAGGGGTGAGTACCGTGCACGATCCCTGTCAGTTCTAGAAGAGCAAAGACGTGAGCGCACCTTATACTTCCGAGGCGAGGGGTCACCCGGCCTGTTTCTGATGAACAAGAGGCCCCTCCATTTCACCAAAGGCAGGGGTTCCTCAGCCCCCAGGCAGAGCCCTCTCCTTGCTTCCCCTCCCAAGTTCTCTGTAAGGAGGCCTCATGTCGCTAAGCCGTGGCCCAGGGACTATGACATATGCAGACCTCAGACCAAGGAGGAGGATGGAGAAACGGGCCAAGCTGGGGGCGGGCAGAGCCGGACTGGGGCTGTCTGCGAGGTTCCACTCTGGGGACAGCTGGCAACATCCAACTTGTTTACCCAACACGGGAACCGTGGGGACTTCCACGCAGCCCCGACATGGGGCTCGGTGGCTCTCAGGGGAAAGTCCCGTGCAAATGGAAAGTAACCCACAGAGGCGATTTCTTCTGGCCTTGGCAAAGCCCGTCTCCACAGGCGTGGTTTTCATGCTGAGCCGGGCTGGAGACGGTGGCCCAGAGAGCTTTGTAAGCAAGACCTGGCCCAGGGAGAGGGACCAGAGGCCTGCCCTTTGTAAAGATGAGTGTCAACTAGAGCAGGACACAAAGGGACAGGGGACCAGAAAACAGACTTGAGACATGGAGATTGGCCCAAGAAGAAAGGACAGAGCCGGGCATGGCGTGGTCAGAGAGAGGAGTGAGGGTCTCCGTGCCTGGGAGCAGGTGTCCAGCCCTAACACGCAGGCTGGGAAGAAAGCGCCCCTCGATGAGGGCTTTCTACATCCCAGGCTCGGTGTTAGATATTTTAGGGACCTCTTAGAAACAGAGAGAGAACACTTAGTCCCAGGGAGGCTGACGGAGGGTCCCAGGAAAGTCGGGGGCAAGGCGGGGCCACCAAAGTCCTTCTCAGAACTAAGAGCACAGTCCAGGTGAGAGCACGGCCTTACCTACCAAACCAGCATCAGGGCGGAGAGAGCTCCCGCAGGGAGGCAGAATGCGAGGCAGAGATCCAGGCAAAGCCGCAAACAGGCTGAGCCACCGGCCGCTGCCCGTCCTAAGGCCATGGTTCTTCCATGGCACCTGGGCAGCCCAGGCGCAATAACTTCCACTGTTTATGTAGCACTTTACAGTTTGCAAAGCACCTTCACGAATTATGCTACTTAACTGATATCCATTGCTGGATTATTAGGGGTTGGACCCCTGTGTTTTACGTATTAATCCCTTTGGCTTCTCCTGTGTGACTCTGCCTTAGTTGCTTGCTCTCTCTGGGTTGCTGTGTGCCCAGCGGGCAGAAGGCAATAATCAGCCCTCCACGCATGGACCGAGATGCTTCTGGAGAGGAGCTGGTGGTGAGTGGATTTCCCAGGCGTCAACAAGCTCTGGCGTCCTCAGGCATTCTAAAGGAGACCCATTCACTGGGCTCCAGGAAAATAAACTCAGACAAATTATAATCTTGCCGTCAACCCCGCTTTTAAGCCCTAAATGTTCCCAGAAGCCTTTCAGTGTCCTCACCTCCAAGCCCCTTGCCAAGCCCCGTTTCCAGGCAGGGGAGTTCGGGAGAAGGTCTCGATTCCTGTGTGGCTCTATTTTTATCTGGAATGTATCTTCCTGCACCGCCAGTGATGGGCGCCCTTGGAGCCGAGGTCAAGTGAGCGGTCAGCAGGACCCGAGCAATAAATAGCCGTGGGCAGAGAGACGGGTCTGTTATGTGGGCAGGAGGTTAGGCAGATGGACAGGCCGATCGTCCTGGCGTCGTTGCCAGGAGTGGCTTGGTTTGTCACACTGACCCCGAGACCTCCGTCATTCCAGAGGGACAAGATGTTTGCCTCTGAGCACTCCCAACGTGGCGAGGGTGCTCAGACAGTGTGGGTCCTGGGAGCCGTGCCAGCTGGGCACCAGCCAGGGCGATGGAGAGCTTTCCCCGGCATTATGGGAAACTTGACATCTGGAATCGAGGTGCATCCTTGTACGTCTTCACGCAGAATCAGCAATTCGGTGTTCACACTGGGATGGGGAGGAACTTGAATGATAGCAGGAAACAGTAAAGGGGCCCTTTCCTTGTAGAACAGCGTTCACAGACCGGAAGGGCCATGGCCCCCGCCTTCTTCCCCAGCTCTCCACCAGCCTTCTGCACCAAGCTGGCCCCATGTGCTTACTTCACCACCAGAGTGAATGGGGGGCGGCGTCTGTCCCTCCCTACTCCAAGGGGGCAGTGACATAACAGGACTGGTGACAGCCAATTTGGACGGGGGCACCCAAATAATAAAGTGTGGGGACACTTTTAGCACAAAAAGGAGGGCCTAGGAAGTGGGGTAGGAGACACAGGGAGGCAGGCTTGCAGCTGGAAGGGTGCGTGCCCCGTGATTGTGGGCCAGGAGCCCCCAGAGAAAGACAGCGCTGGACCGTCTCAGGCCAGCCACTACCCAGACCCACCCCTTTGGACAGGTAGCCTGGACAGGGAGTTTCCAGTCTGTGTACAGAATGCTGTCACCATGGTCACAAAAAACAAAAGCCTAATGTCTCTGGGCCATTTAAGAACCTTGATTAAAGCCAGGTGGTCATTGCAGGCGGAATGTAACATCGCAGAAGTGGTGGCCGCCGACCTTGTGTGTCTCAGTGACAAATAGCGCACGCGCGTGAACGGTGTCCAGGGTGTATCTCGGCCTCTTCTTCGAGGGGTGGTCACAGGAACCCCATGGCCTGCCCTGGTGGCAGAGCGGCTTGGAGATGCCTAATTCCTCAGTGAGGACGAGGCCGCTGAGGAGAGCAGTAACTCGAGGCGGAAACCCCTCACTGAAATCACCAGGACGGGTCCTGGAAGGACTCCATGGCCTGAAGTCATAACAACCCTTCCAAAGTGTTTACAATGTGCCAGGCCTTTTCCCGGCACTTCAGAGACATAGTAAAGCGTTTAATCCACAGCCCAGCCTTATGAGTGATGGACTGAATGGTGTTTTAAAAACCTTTGCACGGAGGAGCCAATTGCAAAATGCTGGTAAAAGACCTCATTGTCGCAGCACCCCTGCCTGTGGACACAAAACAAGATGTCCAGAGCCGAGTGCCCATCTGCTGTTAACTGTCGCCTCCCCTTGGTTTGCAGGAAAGACCCTCGGAGACCAACGCCAGTGTGGACAGCTCGGCATCTCCCTCCGTGGCCCAGCTGGCCGGGCGGTTCAGGGAGCAGGAGGCCGCGGCCAAGGAAGTGAGTTAGGCTGTTTCGCAGCCCCTCTTTGGGAGGGGAGGGGGCCGGAGGAAGGGGATGTCTGGGTCAGGCCCAGAGGAGAGGAAGGGGGAGGCTTGGTAATTGCCAAATTAGGAAGAGAAGCCACAGAGGGGTCTCCCTGAGTGTGCTGGCCCAGCAGGGCCTGTGCCAGCGGAGTGAAGCTTACGCTCCATTGAGGAGCGGGGAGAACAGGCAGGGAGCTGGCCCGCAGAGCCTGGATTCCTCCCCATCGTGACCAGCCCCTGGTAGAGACTTAGGTCATGCCCGGCCGTGCCAGGCCTGGGCTGGCTCAGAACAAAGAGGTCCCCACAGGAGCCCTGCCACGCACAGAGATGGCAGGGAAGCACATTGCCATAGGAAGGAAAGGGATGCAGTATCCAGCGGATTCTGGAAGGGTCCTGCTGGGGAGGACAGGGTAAAAAGGGCGCCTAACATGGGACAGAGTTGCCTCACCCAGTCAGAGGAGCCCATTAGAAGTGGAACACAGGGCGGGCACCCCGAGGTGGGGGCGGTTTATCATGGCCCCTCGGGGCAGACGAGAGCATGGCTGGCTGGCTTTTTTAGGTGTGTTATTTTGCACTTTTGTTTTCCCGTCTGAAAAAGCGGTCCACAATTTCTAGACATTATGGGAATGTCGTAAAGGGTGACAAAGATCGTATTGACCGAAGGTGCTGGCAGGGCTTGGAAGTTGGATGTGGGGGTCGAGCTGAGATGTTATTTCAGGTCAGTGGATCTGCAGGAATAAGGGTGCTCTCGCAGGAACGGACCAGGAGAGGAGAGGCCGAAAGTCCAAATGGGTAGACAGACGGCTGAAGAAAATCCATTTCCGTAGTTAACGGCCAGCCTCAGAGACACGCCAGCCCTCCCTCCATTCTTTTCTCCTCCTGACATCCCTGAACACCCCTAAAACCCACCTTTCACTTCCTGCCTCTCCCTCCCTGGAGCCTGACTCGCTCTCTCTTTTTCTCCGTGTGTCTGTCTGTCACCCTCCCTCCAGATGCCAGCCAGTAAACCAACCAGAAGGAAACCGCCCTGTTCCCTCCCCTTGTTCCCCCCCAGGGTAGAGCTGGGCCAGAATGGTGAGGAGGTAAGTGCAGCTGGTTGCGGGGCGGGTGCAGCCGGGGCTGCCTGCGAACTCTCCCTCTAGGGGAAGGCCACAACATTCACACGTTTACACCTCTGTGCCGGCCATTTCTCCATTTCAGCGTCAGGAATGAACCCTCTCTTCTAAATGCTTCCTGAATCCTTGACTCGGAAACCAGGCTCCTTCCGCCCTCTGTCACTGAGCCCGCTTTGTGATTCGTCAGGGATGGGGACCCTATTTTGCAAGCCTGGGAATTTCAGCAAAGAGGAACGGGCCTTATAGTAGTGCCCACACCCCCCACCCAGGAGCCGCGAAAGTTATGCTTCACGCCCAGGTCTGACATACACGATCTCCCCGGTGGAGGAGGCACCTGGACAGAGGGGTTCGCTGACATCAGGCAGAATTGTAACCTGAGCGTCACAGGGCACCGTGGAAAGGCTGGCTATTGCTCTGGATCATTGGGAGAAAACGAGAGCACACAGGAGGCCCCGTTGCCCTCAGATATAAATAGCCAGCATGAGAAAAGCTCTGGTACCATAGATCATAGCCAGCAAGAAACTCCCAGGCTGCACGCTCACCTGTGCTTCGTTGTCTCGTGGCAGGTGTAAGAGTATCTTCTCCACGCCCTGTCCCAGCAGTCCACAAACCTTCACACCTTCACTGGGGTCGTGGTCCCTGCTAGAAATGAGTTTGCTTGTTCTCTCGTCCAGCCTGGGAGGCCAAGCCCAAAACAGAGCAAGCAACCCAAAGACAGTCCAGTGCCCGGATCCCAGTGGAAGCACCTCTCCCCGGCCCTGCCTTTCTGGGAACCGGCTCCTGAACCACGGACACAACATACCTGTGTGCACGTGGGCCAGTCTCTGGGCGCCTCTGTTTTCTTTCATATAAAGTGAAACATTTGGAGTCGTTCAGTGGTTTTCAACCCTTTTTGTCCACCCACGGCTTATAAGCAGAAGCCCATCAGAGAAAGCAGAAACTCACAGCTGCTCCTGCTCAAGTGTACGGTGGTGGTGGGGGGGGGGTCTAGAGCCCCAGCTGCTCTGAGAATACCCCCCATACCAAACAAGGGTCTTCTTCTCGGATGAGAACCCCAAGAAGCACAGTTCTAAAACACACTGTTTTAAAAAGGAAAAAAGTACTAAGTTTTTTACTGGGCCTCCTCCGGCGCTAACATTATGCCTCCATGGCTTCGAGGGGTTATCAGGCAAGGCTATGACCAAACACACACCAACAACGTACCAAGGGTCACTTCCCCTTATGACCTCACCCCCCTGGGCTCGGGGTCAAAGCTGGAACAGGCCGAGGCTGTGCTGCTGGGAGGCTGCCCCCTGACGATGACCTGGACTTGGGCCCAGAGAGTCACAGCACCCCACTGGGCCTGCTTCCTTTCTTGCAAAATGGGACAAGAACAGGAGCCAGATATGACAGGGGCTGGATGGGGATGTTTTATTCCCTGGATAAAAGTGGTGTGAGTTGGATTAGTCCAGTGGCTCGGAGAGAAATGAATTTGTAGGTTTCATCCTACGGGCACCAGCCAGCAGTTAAATGGCATAAAGCAGCGAAGGGCTGGATGAATAGGAGGGTGGATTTTACAGGGAAATCTCGCCTGGAGTGACAGGCTGCCTGCACGTAGGGAGGACACTGCTTCTAGGATCCGTGACTTCTTGTCCCCTTGAAATTCACATAGAAATAAAATGAGCGGCCAGCTTTTTCTGGGTGGGCTGGATGGGGGCTGCTGCCCTCACCTCTTCTTCCTATACTCACAGCTGAGCCTGCAGGAGCCCTGATGCCGGGAGCCTGGGGGCCCTGAAGTGGGGGGTGCGGTCAGGCTACCCCTCGGTTCCTAATGCACAGCCCTGGAAAGGGTCTCCCCACCCCTTCCCATCCCTCCCTCTCCCTGGGTCTGCACAGGCCTGCAGACAGAGTGACCAGGACTTACCCATCTCTGGAGGACCCAGTCAAAAGGGGGTTAATGTGGCCACAGACCCTGCCTCGTCTGCCCAGAGAAGGGCTGAAAACACGTCTGCCCAGAGAAGGGCTGAAAACACCCCCTCTGAAAGATCAGGTCCCTAACTTCTAGACATTACAGGAATGTCCTCCATGGACATATCCACCTCCACATAGAGAGATGGGGGGCTGGCTGCTCGCCACCCGCCCACGCCACGTGCCTGGAGCCGCTAGTTAAATGGTAAAGGAAATGCTGCCACCTGCTGCCATCTCCAGGAACAGCACTAGCGGCTCTTTGGAATTCGGCTTTGCAGTTCGATGCAAATCAGCAAGGACTTTGTGGCGCCTGGGCTGGATTCCCAGCCCTGGCCTATGGAGCAGGGGCCATGCTTATCAACTTCCACCCTCTTCGGAAGATAGTGGTCAGCTGGGGAAGAGACACGTTTATAGTATTACACAAGGTGAGCTTTATCAGCAAATTTGTAGCTGCAATTTCTAAAACACGGTGTCTTCAGGTATGCTGGCTCATGTGAGATTTCACCATAAGACACAGGGATTAAAACCGACCCGTATGTCCTCGCCGTGGACGCAAGGCGCCTTGCGCCGCGGGGCCAGAGGCACCTGGGGGCAGCGGGGGTTCTTAGAATCACTGGTTCCCACGACACGCCTGGGTCTTGGCTGAGGATGCTGAGGCCCAGGGGTCCATCCAGCACCCGTCGAAGCGTAATAAGGGCTGGGGGGCCCCCTGGGTCCCAGCCGGTGACTGTCCCTCTGCGGCATCTGTCCCGTGACGCTGGGCCTTGAAAAGGTCACAGGCGTTCCGCTGAGTCTGTCTCCTTCCTTCACTAAAATACAGTCATTGCATTCAATACATATCTCAGAATACTTCCAAGGGATTGGTGTTATTCTTATGATTCGGGTAAATTAGTGTGTGTTTGGCAGGGGCGAGGGGCAGGGAATACAGACACGGCGGGTCTCCAAACTATCGGAAAATCCCTCTTCTCCCAGCCTCTGAAGGTACATGAAGTCTTCCTCCTCCTCTTCCACTTCCTCCTCCTCTTCCGCTTCCTCCTCCTCTTCCTCTTCTCCTTCATCACCATCATCATCATTGTCACCCGTCCTACATGTGAGGGTCAACACACCTGTAGAGCCAGACTCAATTGTAGGGATTGTGCACAAAACAAGGAGTCAATCTTTTTAGATAATATCAAATCAAAGGCAGATGTCTACATACATTCGTCACAAAAATAGCTTCAGCTCACAGAGCACGCGTATGTTTTATACGTGTGTCTATGCCATTCACCGCTTCTGCAGGGCAGAGACTAAATCAGTCATCTTTGTGTCACCAGCACCATGTCTGCCACGTCGTAGACACTCAATAAATGTCTGCTCATCAAAGTGAATAGTCAGTGTTTTGGAAAATGACAGTTTATAAGCAACACTGTTGGTGGGATTTTCCAAAATATCATTAATTTAAGGGAGGAATGTAAAAAATCCCCCTGTGAGGGTTCATTCCTGGTCTGTGGTTTGTTTGGCTTGTGACCAACCGAACAGATGGTCATTTTGCCCTTTTGCTTTGGAATTCCCTCCGACTGTTGACGCGCGGTGTTGGCCGTCATGAGGTGTGGAGAAGCCCCCCCCCCCTCAGACATAGCGGGTTTCGTCACAAGGACCATGAAGTCGTTCCTTCTGGAACAGGAAGCCTCCTGTATTTCGGATGTCTGCCCAGCCTGCTGTCACTCATAGATTCAAGTGGTCTTGCCAGTGGAGAGATGAGGGAGGGGGGGACGGAGGGGATCCCCCCTCCCCCAGGCTCTGGCAAGGTGTGTGGGCCACTGAAGCTCAGAGGTTAAGGGGTGAAACCAGCTTGTCCTCCTCTTCCTCCCGTGGCTTCTGAGCTCCAGCCAGAAGCCTGCTCCCTTCACCTCACTCATTTGACATTTTGCCCCATTTGCTCTACAGAAATCACCAGCCAACGCGAGCCACCCCCCGAAAGTCAAACTGAAGAGCTCGCCTCTGATTGGGAAGCTTCAGGTAAGTGCAGAAAAGCAGCCCTTGGCTACCTCTCACCCCACCCCGCCCCTTATCCAACATCTGCCGGCCTTTGCGTCCCCTGGAGAGTTGACCTCTGAGAACCAGCCCTAAAAGATGAGGAGCTCTACCTGGGGGGGGGGGCAAAGGGCCAAAATAAGGACCATATCAGCATGAGCTTGTGCAGTTAACACCTCAAGGTGGCTGATGAATAACGGGGTGCCTCAAGCATCTTACGGGGAAAGGCCATTAGAGAGTAAGAAACGGTCCAGGTGGAGCCAAGTCCCGGCCTCAAGGCCCGGATGCAGCCACAGGCCGTTCCAGCCCAACACAGACAGGCTTGAAGTTCAGCTGCCGGACACTGCCCTGGAAAGGCCAGATCCGTGGTTCGGAAAGCATTCGGCCCCTCCTCCCCACCGGTCACCTTGCACGCCCACAGCTGGGCTGGCTTTCCTGGAATGTAAAGGAAGCCTACGCCAGTGCATGGGAGCTCACAGTCTTACTGGGGAGACAAGATTTTCGCACGTGATACAATAAAAGACCTACAGGAGAGAAAATACCAGAGATCTAAAGTGTGTGTAGCTCTCCGACACCTACTGCTCTCGACCAGGGTTTCTCGACCTTGGCATGCTGGGAGCGGGACCCTTTTCTTGCAGGGGGGCTGCCTTGTGCATTGCAGCAGCCCTGGTCCCTGCCCCCTAGATGCCAGTAGCATTCACTCTCCAACAAGTGGTGACAATGAGAAAATGTTTCCAGACTTTGCCAAATGTCCCCTGGGGGTAAAGTCGCCCCCCACTACCCCAGGGGACAGCTCTAGAACTTCGGAGAGCTGAGTCAAGTGGGCAGGAGTAATTAGCGAATGGTTTATGAAAGACCTGTGCCCTGAGTTGGTCCTTCAGAGCAGGTGGCTGGAAAGGAGGGAGGAAGGTGCTTGTGGGATGGGAACAGCGTGAGCTAAAGCACAGAGGACATCTGGGTGGGGCCTGTAGAAGAGGCTCCAGCTGTCACCGCAGTGTCCAGGCAGCCACCCAGGAGAACAGCAGGGCTCTCGTGCACTGTATTCTCTCATCTGGGCCCAGCTAAGGAAACTGAGTCATCAGCACTGTTCTGAGGCTGTTATTAGGGGTGTGTCAAGATAGAGAGACACAGCATCTGCACTTCCCGGCTATGGGACAGCCCAGGGACCTGGCCTCAGCCCGATTTGGGGTTAAAGAAAGCACCTCTGGTTTCTGACCATTAGCCAACCCTGTGGAGGGGGGTCCCCCCCTGAAGTTTAATTCATACTGAGAAACCCTGATTCCCCCGCAGCTGCAGGAGAAAGTGGGCTGCCTGTCACTCTGGGAGGCTGCAGGTGTCTCACATACATAACAGGGACCCCTCAGATGGGGCCCCAGAACTCGGAGGGCTGTGCAGCCCCCTCACAGCCCTCATCCGCATGCCAGAAATTAGCTCCCAAAGCTCTGAACCCTGCAGCCTTGGTCCCATCCCCCTTTCTGGTCATTAATGACCCACTTTGGGAAATGCAGCAACTTGAGAATGAGGTTTTGACCTCAGATCGCTTTTCCCCAGTAAGAGGGCCAGTGATAGTTGGACAATTTGGCCAAATACCAGAGGAACCTTACTTTGTTGGGAGTATGTGGGGACAGGACTAAGAAATGCACCATCGGCTAGATTTTCCTTCTGGTGGGTTGTCGGGAAAGCCATGATGCATTTTTGCATTGAAAAACATAGGAAAATACGTCATAACTTTCCCGACAACCCAATATACATTCTGTCAGATAAGTTGTGAACTATGGACTCAAGTCCATAATTCAAAGCTCACGTTTCCTGCTTCCTATCGGTAAGCAGTCTTACAGAGGGAGCTTCCTGGCTTGAAACTGAGAGGGGAGAGAGACCGTTAACGCCCAGTTCACGTCCCCTCTGCCACGAAGCCCTATGAGCTGTCACAGCCTCCACAGGCCCCACCCGTCCCTTGGGACTCACCATACGCTGCTTTCGGGCATGGCGTGGGCCACAGTATTGCTATTTCACTTTTCTATTTGTAACTTTTGCCATGACTCAGTCTTGCCTATATTATTACTTTTTTCTTAAGGTCACAGTAGAAATGCAAATACCTTTCTAAGCATGGGGGGGGGGGACTCCTCGGTGCCCACGTGCCCGCGAGAGTTTGCCAGTGCAGAGCCTTGGCTGGCAGTGTCCAGGGAAGTCTGGAGGGAGAGGGTGTGCGTGTGCATCAGGCAGGGGCAGGAGAGAGTGCAGGGGACCAGGTCATAAGGCTCTCGGCAGGTCAGGCCAAGTAGTTTGGACAAAGGAAGAACCTGAGACTCAGAAAGCTGATGGTGGGGCACATTGAAGGTCACACAGCTATTAGGTGGCGCGAACGGGGGCCGGGGCCCTCACGGCATCCCTCCATAGCCGCCTTCCTGCATCACTACCTTCTCCACGGCGGACCTGGGACCAGCCGGCTCACGCTTCCTCAGGTCTCCGTTACCTTGGGGCAGTCTTCCCGTGTGCTTGCCCTCGGGGTTCACCTTAATCTGCTTGCAGCTGCACTGTGATGCCCAAGCAGGGAGCTCACACTGGCACCTGTTTTGCTGGCTCCCCCCAAAGGCTCGGCAGCCTGCTGTGTCCACCCCTCTGGCCGGCTACTGAGGGGCCAACAGATCTGGCCTGAGTCCCAGGGCAGGTTCCTCAGCCACTTTCTTAACTTGTACAATGAGAACAAAACCAAACAGGCAGCAGGATCATTACCGAGGGGAAAACGACGTGTGCCAGCAAATAGTGAGCCTCCAGAAACAGTCACTATTGTGACAGTGACGAGAAAGATCAGAGAGGCGCAGGCTTACTATGAGATCCCGGGGCATGTGGGCTGGCAGCTCTGACTTTGGCCTCCTTGTCTATAAGCTGGGGCTGTTCTGGGCATTGTTGTCGGATCCAAATCAGTGCCCTGGGCATCCTGGGGTGCAGCCTGTAGAGAGCCAGGCAGCAGGAAACGGACCGAGTAGGCAGTGCTTCCAGGAGCAGGACATGATGTGACAAGGGATCAGCAGTTAGGAAGTAACGCAAAGAGCCTCCTGTTACCTGGTCTCAGCCAGTTCCGGGGCCAGGTAACCGACAAGCCAAAGCAGAAATGCTCACCTTGCGCCACCCTCTCTGAACTGTCTCCTCTTTCCTCCACAGGCCAATTTAGTCTTTGATCCGACGGCCCTGCTGCCTGGAGCCTCACCCAAGAGTCCTGGACTCAAGGCCATGGTGTCGCCGTTTCACAGCCCACCTTCTACTCCCAGCAGCCCTGGGGTGCGGTCTCGGGCCAGCGAGTCGGAAGAGGTGCCCGTCAGCTTCGACCAGCCTCCGGAAGGCAGCCATCTGCCCTGTTACAACAAGGTACCGTCTGGTCCCCAGCCTTGTGGTCTGTCGGTGGGGTCATGGGCCCAGGACAATCTTGAAGGATCTCTGCCCTGTTTTACCCTGGAGTGAGGAGGACACATTCGCGCTGTAGTCAGAGCTGGTTATTAGCAGAAGAGGAAGTTCTCTTCTTTGCAGATGACCCCCAAGCTAAGGTCAGCCCTCTCCCTTCCTGTCACTGTCACCAGAAAGCAGGCTTGGAGGATGGCCTGCTCTCTCCTTGGTGGAGAGAGGCGGGAACTCAGGGCTGACCCCGGCTGCACGGAGTTATGTCCAACGCTGAAAACCAAAGCTTAAGGCCTGGTCAGTGACTCACACCAAAGGGTGAGCAGGGTCCCTAGGACGCCAACACCCTGTCCTGTCCTAATGTGTCCCAGTATGGGCTCAGGGCATTCTCACCGCAGTAAGAATTCTTGCCCTAAAGAACACCCAGACTGTCCCTTTGCAGAAAGCTGTGTGGCAGGGCTGGCTTTGGGAGGAGCTGCCCCAATACTGAGCGTGTGCTTTCTTTCACCAGCCCCGACTAGGAGGTGATGAGAATCAGAGATGCAGTCCAATACAGTCCAAGCAGGTGCCCAGCACACCTGGGGCAGAGCCAGGCAGCGGCCACGATGTAAAGGGGTCTGATGCCAGGGAAGGGCAAACGGATGTGACTTTGGGATTATGGATGGAGAGAGTGGCATCTTGTGGGCCGTAACAGAAAATCCATCTAGGAAAGAAAGGCCAAGTTTGTAGAAACGGAGGTGGGAGGGGCCAAGGAAGCAAACTGGTGTAAGGAGGTGATGGGTGGGCTCGAGCCTGACAGCTGGCAACAGGGGAAAGACCCTGCAGGCCAGAGTGATGGAGAGGAGAGGGGCCAGGGGACAGCCTTGTCTCTCCCAGGTGTCGTGAGGGAGTAGGGACAGGGAGGGAGGCGCTGCCACCTGGTCGTAACACCAGCGTTAGTAGTCTGAGGGCAGCCAGAGAGCAGATACAGTTATTTCTGAACCCTGCCGGCCATGAGGGCTGAGGCCTTGGCTGCCCTACAGGGCTGGCCTCTCCGTGGCCTCAGGCAAGGGCCCCGGAAGCCTTCTAAACCAAGATGCATTCCAAAAACCTCTGACATGGAAAGAGGATGACAACAACCAAGATGAAAGCCAGTGGGAAAACCAAATTTACAAAAATAAGGTTTACTAAAATAAGATTTAACTGACACAGATTTTTAAGGGACACATCCCTTGAGTAAATGAGGACGTCTGAGAGCAACATTTCCATTGAACTTCTGATGGAGTCGGTTGGGCCGAGGCGAGCCCTGATTCTCAGATTCACACACTTCCCCGGGAGGAAGTGATCTCCAGGCAGCTCTGCTGGGCGCTCCTAAGATGTGGCTCCTGAGGACAGTGGGCCTGCCTCCCAGAAAGCCAAAGACACTGGCTGCTCAGCTGTCCGGTATCGGTCAGCTTGGTGGGGACAGGAAGAGCCAAGCTGGGCGAAGGGAGGAAGCCGGTCCCCAGGTGTCTAGCTGCCAGGCCTCGGCCGCCAGCAGGCCCCTAACCCTCCCTCCTCTCTGCTGGGCTCACCTCTGCTGGAGCATAATTTTCAAAATGTTTAAACATGACTCTTGTACAAAATAGAGATAGTAGATTTTATTCAACGTGTTGATGTATTAGGAAACCTGTGAGATGGTAAAGTTCACTCGAAGAACATTCAAAGGGAGAACTGGTTATTTACAGACAATGAAAAAAGCAAATGTTAGAATAAAATTGCTAAATTGGACACCAAGCTGATTAAAGCTTACAGGGCCACCAAATCATAGGCTACCTTGTTTCCTGGCTGAGACAGAAGTCTGCAGGGCACCCTGTCGTCTCACAGCCCTGCAGACCTCTCACCAGGAACCAGTGGCAACCATGTACAGTCTCTAGAACAATCCTGGGGTGGGCCGGACCTGCAGGGTTCCTCGTGGCCTGTTTTTTATAGGTTTTGGGTAATGTTCCTCAATACCTTCTTCCAGGTGCGGACGCGGGGCTCCATCAAAAGGCGCCCACCTTCCCGGCGATTCCGAAGGTCTCAGTCGGACTGTGGGGAGCTGGCGGACTTCCAGGCCCCAGAGCCGTCCCAGGAGAACGGAGCCCAGGAAGAAAATGGGGGCGAGGTGTTCCCTTCCAAGAGCACTGCCCCTCCGCCTGGCGAGGGGGCGGTGGGAAGGGAAGGCAGGAAGACCCTGGGGTCCCACGAGAAGCCCCCTCTGAGGAGGACGTCCAGCAGGACAGAGCAGCAGGAACAGAAGGGCCGGGCTCCGGAGGAGGCCCCGCAGCCCGACAAGGCTGCCCAGGAGGCCCAAGAGAAGGCCCTGGAACCAGCCCCGGCTGCCAGCGCAGAGGCCAAGAATGAGTGTGGGAGCCCCATGGAGGGCAGTCCAGCCTCAGGGCAGACGGAAGAGCCCACACAGGTGAAGGAGGAGAGGGCAGAGGCTGGAGAGGAGGAGCCCGGACAAAAGAGCCAAGACAAGAAGCCGCAGCCGGAGGAGGGGGCTGAGGGGCAGGAGACCCCCCAGACTCCCCCTGGGGGAGCGGAGGCTGGCCACACCCCCGAGGAGGGGAAAAGCAAGGGGAAGCAAGGCAAGGGGCCCGTGCTGGAGCCCGGCTGCAACCCCAGGACGAGCCAGGCCCAGGCAGAGACCGGCAGTGAGGTCCCCAAGACAGAGGTAGGTGGCCCTGCATGTTCAGCCGGGGAGGGCTGGTGTCACATGCCCTGTTCCTTACAGTCCCATCACGGATCAGCTCAGTGAGCTGTAACAAGGGCAGAGACAGGCTGTCACTTATGGTGAGGGACACCGAGCAAGCCAGGGACGCGTGTCTCACGCTCGCTCGGGTTTCTCACTGACTCGGAGTTCGGTGCGTGTCTGGGTGTGGATGGAGTGAGCCAGGCTGGGCACAGCTCAGTGACCGAGTGACCACCACACACACCTAGGGCTGCGAAGGCAGGGTCCTGCTGTGGGAGCGCAGAGAGGAAAACGCACAGTCCAGCTGTGAGACCCGCAGCTCTTCAGGGCACATTAAAGAAGGCAAAACAGAGCAGTGGGCAGGGGAGAGACCATCTGTGTGTGCGGGGTGGGGGGGTGGAGAAGTTTCAGGGCAAAGGTAGCATTTGAGCCGCCCTTCAAAGGCAGCTTTCTGTTACCTGCATTCCCCCACAGGGGTGGGACACCCGGCGCACACACAAGGACGGGCATAACGCAGTCCCTGCCCTCCTGCCTGGGCCCACCCTTACTGGCCCCGTCCGTCAGCTGCCGCCTCCCACCATTCCCAGGAAGCCCACCTTGAACTCTCCGCCCTGTTTCAGGAGCAGAGCCAGCCCTGCTCAGATGTGTGATGCCCCCAAGGACTGACTTCCTGACCGCCTGGTTCTACCGCTTTGCCAAGCCATGCTCCTTTATTTCTCAACACTGGATCTGAAATGCCTCTTTCCCTCTCCCTGAGGAGACGTCCCTTCTCTTGAACTCCCCCTAAGTGTTTGCTTTGCCCCCCTTTCTTCGGCCTCCCCGTTAGCTGGGCAGATTCCTGAGACTCCCCGGCCTTGGTCCCTGCTCACCTGTCTTGGGGCCACACTCCTCTGTGTTCCCACCTCAACCCCTCCCTTAGCCTCTGCACTGCCCTTCCCTGGGGCCCTGTGTCCCTGCCCCAGGCGCCCTCCGTGACCAGCTAGGTCACTGCCTCCATTTGACTGAAAGGAAGACCAGCCACCTTCCTCCTCCTCTCAAAATGTGTCCTCTTCCTGCGAGTCCGAGGAGAGGCCCCTTGTCCCCGACGGGACGAAGCCCCTGTGCTGTGCTCTAGCGTCCTCCCACTGCCATTTTCTGGACATTTTCACAGGACGTTTGTGGAGTGTGTGCGTGCATGTTAAGTGAGAGGTTAGATGAAGACGTCCCTGCCAGTTGTTCTGTATTTCCAGCTCCTCACCAGCTCACTGCTTTCTGCTGGGCCTCTAACCCTAAAGAACAATCCTTCTGCCCCCTCCCAGGCTCCCCCATCCTCTCTGTCCCCCTGTCCTTTGTTTCCCCTGGTGACCTTGCTCTTATCAATGATTATGAAGCTCACAAAAGCCCTCCCAGCCGCCAAAAACAGGTTGCGTCTCAGTTCTTGTCCCTCTCGCCTCTGCAAGGCAATGGACACCGCAGCCTGCCCGCAGAGGCTCCCTCCTGCCATGTCCTCTGTCTGCAGAGGCTGCCCCGGCCCCTCCCTCCCTCTGTGCCCCCTAAAGTCAGGGCGCCGTGACCTTGGCCAGGCTTCAGCCATCGTGTTCGGTGAACTCTGCTGGACCGGGACCTCATCCTCACCTCCCAAGCACTCCTGGATGCTCGGCACCAGCTGGGCTCCCCCATGGTCCCCACCACACACCACGGGCACCACTCGTGGAGGCCCTCTAGTCAGTCCCTCACACACGACAGTTCCAGAACCAAACTCATCCTATTCGCCCTGTTTCTCCACTTACAGTCAACTGAAAGCCCAAACTCTTTACCCACTTCTGCTCACGAAGTGCTGGCTCTTCCGCCTCTGCGTCAGCCCCTCTCCACCCCTAGCCAGCCTGCAGGTCTGATTAAGTTTCCCACTCGGGGCCTTTCGCTCTCTCTGCCTCTCTCCACCTCCACGGCCACACCACCCTTCCTTCCTTGTCGCTACAATCACGACTCGCTCCTAGCAGAGTCCCTGGTCTCCAGACCTGCCCCCTACATTGGCACCTAATCCATCTTCCTGGAAATGCCATCTCGCTCGCCTGCCCTCCTACCTCAAGCCCCTGGACACTGTCAGGTTTCCCCACTCGCTCCAAGTCATTCTTTCCTCCTCTGTTGACAGGGCGACGCCTCTGTCCAGGACACTAAAATGTGAAGACAGCTCACTGTGCGTCGTGACAAAGCTGCTGGAGACGTCTCTTTGGAAGCAGCAGCCACCGCAGTAGCAGCAAATGAAGCCACCGCAGGAGCAGACTGTGCGGGGACTGCGGTCAGCGCGAAGACACAGGGTGCTTGTCTCCTGGCCTCCCACCCCGTCCCAGACGGAGATTGCATCTGAGGGCCGCAGACTTTCATCAGCTGGAGTTTGTGTCACTTGATGGACTTGGTTAAAAACAACAAAACAAACAAAAAACGTATTTAAAACAATTTACTGTGGCGACAACTCCCTAGGGATACTGGTCAACCTACGGCGGGCGGGGGAGAAGGTGGGGGAGTGAGGCCCACCCACCCTGCAGCTGACCTCAGAACTGGACTCTGATTTAGCACATCAGATTTTGTTTGTGTAAACTGATAGCCTTTTTACTGTTCTGAAGTTTTTACCATTCTCTCATGTAAGTGAAAACTAATTTCAGGTGGCAAGAAAACCAAAGGAAATAGCACTGCCGAAAATAGGAACCCTGTAAGTTACAAAGAGACCTTAGATTGTATCCAGACCCGAGACAGACAACCTGTAATGCAAGTCAGTTCCAGCAGCGGCAGCTTTTCCCATCCCAGTTTCCTAGCTGATGACACACCAGGGGGTGAGGGGCTCAGCTCACCCCCTTCTGTGTATGTGTGGGGATGGGGTGGCGGGAGCTCCCCTGGAGGTTTCAGGCTCAGCCCTGCCTCTCTTCATCCTGGGAGGACGAAGTCTGCACTTCCAGGAGGTGGCCCTGGAGCATGGATGAGAAATGTCCTGGGAGGTGCTCCGAGTACAGTGCTGTGCCAACTACAGAAGAAAAACGTGCCTCCTGGCGTGCCTGGGTAGCTCTGGAATGGAAGCCCAGGGTCCCCTTCCCCGCGCAGGAGGAGGGCGTGGGGGTCTTGGGTCGGCTCTCACCGGGCAGCTCTCGCTTTAATAATGTTCTAATGTTCGGTTTGGAGAATGCAGGAGATTTGCAGGAAGTGGGAGCCTGACTCCGCATTCCATGTCTCCCAGCCTCTCCCCAGATCACACGCTCCTGCTGGAAGCCGTTAGTCCAAATAAACGTTTCACCTTTAGCCGCGGCCCTTATTCGCAGTTGGGTGCTTGAGAGTCTCAAAGTGCTGATTTGGCGGCTGCAGCAGCTGTTTTTCTGGAGGTCTGTGAGACCACACTCTGCTCTGACTTCAGAAAATGGGCTCCCAGGCTAAGAGGCCTTATCTGACCACGGGTACTGCTGCCGCGCAGGGGTCCTTTCCCCTCTCAGGATAGACATCGAGAGGGTGGGTGAGACCGTTTGCAGAGAGAAAGGTTTATCAAAGCGAAAGCTGACTGCACCAACGGAGCCCGCTGCTCCGTAAGAAAACAGGTGTGGCTTCCTGGGTCCTGGCATAGCGTGGGTTTACCTGCTCTGGGTAAGGGGCCCCATTAGTTTCCCTGGAATGGAGTGGGGAGTTCCCAGGACTAGGTGGCCACCCTCTTCTGGGTCTTATATGGGCACCGGTGGGCATGTTTGGTACGGGAAGGAGGGTGGGACACTCAGGGGACAGCACCTCTAACTACTGGTGTGCAGGCGCAGTTTTGAGGACCTGCCCTAAATCTGATTACATCTCTTCTGCAGCTTTTGTTTCCACTTGGTGGGAAAGGACCACTCAAGGGTCCTTCCCCAGAGGCAGGTTTTGGCCACGTGACTACCGACCACAGTACCTCAATTTCCTGCTCCTATTTAGTTGCCCTAACTCCAGGGTAGAGTTAATATTTGGGATATATATTTTTTTCAAGCTTTTTAAAATATAATGCATCTTGTAAAACTTGTAACCTTGTGAAGACTGATACGATAAGCTTTGTGTTTTAGCCAAGTTTGGGAGACATGTGTCAGTTTATTTTGAGGTCTCTATAATATCTGTCTGTCTATCTCGCTCTCTATCTATCCAGCTGTTGACAGAGATGTGTGCCCCCTAAACAATACATGGTTTTATTTATATACGTCTTTGGATTGTTTATACACTCACACCCATAGCCGGGCGAGACTTTCGGGAACGCGTGCCTGATGGGGACTGTGTGTGATAACGAAGGGGAACCTGCCACTCTCCCCGACTTGACAAAGGAATGGAACAGGAGGCGTGGGGTGTCAATGTGAAAATAAACCTGTTGTTCTTCTGGTCTGTACCTTATTGTGGCCGATGAGAGCGGAGCAATAAACAAAATGACAAGAATGTGACGCTGAAGAAGCGTGCGTGACGGTGTCCGAATACATTTCTGTCTCCCCAGTTCCCTACTAGTCACAGGATGTGATCGATTTTGTGAAGAAAGTAGAGACCCCCCCCCACTCCCAGGGCTGTTACAGTGATGGGGGGGGGCTCTTGGTAGGCAACTCACAGCACCCCGCTGCAGCCTGGCGAGGTTGATCCTGGGACCTCCAAACCGAGGATTAAAGAAATCCATCTGTGTCTTAGCACAAAGTCATGACCAGGCCAGGAGGACTTTCACTCCGGCTTCCTTAACAGGCTTGAAAGGAAACACGGGCTCTTCGCAGCTCCAAGGTGAAGAGCCAGAATCATTCTTCCACCATCTTTGGAGTCTAGCTTGAAGTTTAAATGGCGTCCTTCCCTTCTGCAGAGTGGGAACACGAAAAACTGGGGTGCTTTGAAGGGGTACAACACTAGGTAACAGGGGCCTCTGATGCTGTGTCAGCTGCATGTGGGACCAGGTGGCCACAGGGGCCCTGTGGCTGCAGAACCCCACTCTCCTCACTGAGGTCACCCTGAACACAGCCCAGTTTGCCGTACTGGTTTTGGCCTGTGACCGCTTAACTAGACACTCAATAAATATATGTCAAGTAAGGGAATAGATGAGTGAAAAGGCAGCCAGTTTATCACCTTTTGATTCTTGGGAGCGTAAAAGTGTAACACAGGTGAATGAATGAGGGCCTTCGGCTGCTAATGAAAGGGGCCCAGCTCAAACTGGCTGATGAGAAACAGAACTACATCTGTTTATGAATCTCTCTCTCTCCTTCTCTCCCTCTCCCTCTCCCTACATACTGAATAATATGAATTAAAAATCCATGGATAGGCCTAAATACAATACTTAAGCAATGTCAGAAATTAAAACTGAGGGTCCTTATGACTTGGATTAAATTTAGTTTTAAATCCTTATTCTAGAAATCATACCCTACACCGCTAAGAGACCTCAGTCTCTCCGGATACCCGAGGCAGGACAAGGCAGCAGCCGGGACTAATGGTCACGGGGTCCGGACCTCTGGCAGGATAAAGAGAACACCTTGACCCAAGTTACATTCCAGCTCCTGGGCCCTAAGGTGGAACGACCCCCTGGCTACTTTCCCATGAGACCGGACAGGGGAACTCCAGAACAGACCTCAGAACTGTCCTCAAGACCTGAAGACATGATGCATTATCCTCACCTCACCTCCAAAACAATTAGCTCCCAACACGACCCGGAACCCCTACCCCACAGTGTCTTGTAATTTTTGCCCCATGGAACCTATAACCCACGTGCCATCGGGGAGCCAGGTCTTCGAGCGCCAGCTCATCTGTGTCTCTGGGCTTGGTGCCACTTCCTTAATACACCTCTGCTTTCTTTGCTGCAAACTCCTGCTCATGTCTTCATTGGCTTGGATGCACGCAAACAATCCCTTAGTTTGGTAACAAAATCTCTCTTGGTGATCAGTCTCTGTGTTCATCAAGCAGGCTCTTCCCAGCCTGCAGACCCAATGGAAAGAGTTTATTCTTTTCCAATAATTATGGGGGAGGGGGGCGGGATTCTGCAGAGCTTTTCTATAGGTCCCGTGTGGACCATACATGTATATGTTCATACCTGAACCAATCATTAAGATCAATGAGATGCAGAGATCAGACTGGCCAGGCGGACGTCACATGCCCTGTCCTGGTGCTAGGGGCTAGGTGACAATCCTATTGACTCGTCAAGGATTGTCAATGGGAGGGAGAAACAGGGGTGCCTTAAGGTGAAATTGGGAGGCTGTTACCAAAAGAAATGGTGCTGGGTAGGTAAAAAAAAACCAAACATGTCTCCAACAAGGCAATCCCTGAAACACCAAACTACTATACCATTATTGGCTAAAACATTAAATTTTGTTTCACTCTAATTAGTTCTGATCAACTGTGTGCTCTGTGCAACAGGTAAAAATGAGAACAGAATGTCCCTATGTCATGCACGACCAGGAGACTTATGATGTCAAGAGCACTGAGCAAAAGTCAAGCGCTGCTCAAATGAAACAGAATTCGTTTTCAGAAGCTACCGAAGAAAGTCAGTGTCGTTATTTTATGTCATAAGGTTTTGCTGTGTCCAGAGCTCCTCAGTCAGCTGTGCTGTTCACTGTGGGTGCCTCATGCATCGTAAGGGCTCAGTAAACATGTGTTAAGTAATAAATAATTGAAGTGATTTCAGAGCTGAAATAGGATTATGTCTGACATTTCTCGCTGCCCACCACCTCCCTCATCTGATACCAGGTGCCTAAAATGTCCTAATATGCAGCCTTCCTTCCCAGTCAAGAAGCATATCCTGAGGGCGGATAATGTTTAAGCCTCTTTCGTCATCCTGCCTTGAGTTGAGTGGGTTTTTGAAATCCTTCCCAGAGGGAGTTGGAAAAGACAATCAAAGTGCACCAAAGTCTAGGGGCAGGAGACATACTTTCCTGACTCCCCAATCTTCTTGGGGTAAGCCAGGGCTCCCCTCAGCCCGCTGACGTCCTGACCGGAGCAGCTGTGGATGCTGAGAAGATCATTATTCCAGGTCTGCCCTCAGGTCCCGGGAGAGCTGTGGGGATGCCGGAGAGGCCCGGCTGTGGTCAAATGGGGCAGGAAACTGTGGCTCTTCCAGGCTCTTCAGAGGACGAGGAGATGATGAATGAATCTGTTATATGCCTCCCGGTGAAAAGGGAACCACAGCGTAAAACCACCCGCCTCAAAGACAGGAGCAAAGAGACTTCCCCCTCCTGCCAGCCCTGGAAAGTTGCGGGCTTCTCCGTGGGAGCTGCACCACAGAGGTCCTGGCACAGCCAGGGAGATGCTGTGAGGGAAAGAGTACACAATGGAGCGGTCCAGCGGCTAGGACTTCCCCTGGGGACAATGCCCCTCCAAGAAAATCAGAGCCCCTCGGACCTAGTCACTACTGTTGGGCTATCGAAGGAGCCATGGGTGCTGGAGGGTGTTCATGGCTGTACCTGGCCCCTCAGGAAGGACAGTTAGAGTCTTACTAACTCCCTCTGGAAGCCGTGGGGACTGGAAAGCACAAAAGGGCCTGTTTTGCATTACCTCTAATGCTGTGTCTCTTTTCAACTGTACCCA